AGTATCATAAAATGTCTATTTGTAACCTCACATAGGAAAAAAAATATTGTAGTTATTAGAATTATTAATTGTGATGTTTGTTATGCATGACAAACAAATAGAAAACATCATAGAAAATATATTAAATATTTGAAATATTTTTTCATAAGTTATTATTCCCTTACTTTATTTTTCAAATGTCTAGCAGCATTTGTTTTGTGCTTATATTGTACATAATATATATATATATATATATATATATATGTTGTGCTATATGTCTTAGTTTGTTTTGTTCCTTGCAAAACAGAATCCAGACAATAAAGTGTCAATTACATTTTCATTTACTAAATAAACTAACTCATTATGGATGTCTTCTTTATGAAAATTAGTAACCTAACCATCCCTCTTTATAGACATTTCACAAACATCAGTTTTCATTTTAATTCCAAAATATCAGTTGGAACACTGGAAGACTTTCAGTTGTAATGTGTAATTGAAATTTAAAAATATTGTTACACCAAACTACATTGTACTGATAAATGGAATACAGGGTGTATAGTATCATAATATTTGGCAAGATTAACATCAATCAAGATATATTTGTGTAAATAAGTTAATATAGGTAATTATTCTATAGATTTTAATTATTTTTTTTAAATATTCATATAAATGCTGAGTTAATCATTTTCTAATAAATGTGGTTGATATACTTTTATGAAGTCCATCACTAAGGGATAAACAAGTAGCCCACATATTCCTTAGTTTATTTTGCAATAAATTTAAAAAAACAACAACAAAATTGGCTTTCAGAAGACACTAAGTTTTAATAGTGAAGGAAGTTTGATTTCTTGGACTACTGTTTCAATAGCAACAACCCAAGCATGGAAATCTCATTCTGATGGGATTTTCTTTTATGTTAGGTAACTAATTAATGATTAGCATAATAAACATAATCAAGGCATGGGGGAAAGGTTTTAATGTGTTAGTAAATCTACATAGTCGTATCTTGCTATTTGAATTAGTATTTTTGTAAAAGAAACAATTATTAATACATGTTCTGAGTTTTTAACTTTATGTTATCCTGTTTCATACATTTTTTTTAAAAAAAGTATTATTATTGGTTCTTGTGTGTGTGTATATATATACTTACGTACAGAACCCTCCAAATTATTTTTCTTGGAAATGATATGGAGCTGGATTTGTATTCACTTTCATGTCAAAAATATTACAGAAAAAGTCAAACTTAAGTCCTAATTTTCAATAACATTTTTCACAATCTTTAACTTTTGAACCATGTTTAGCATACAAAAGGTATTATTAATTATTCTTATAACTGTGCTGAGGAAACTAATTGAAGTTGAGGGAAAATATCTAGATATAACTATTACAAAATTTCTAAAAAAATCTTCTAGGCAACGTACATTAGCTAGTAATAAGGCAAACATGGTTTTAGGTTGTATACATAGAAATACTGACCACAAGTCAAAAGAGGTCATTGGTTTACTCTGTGGTATTCAGTTACATTGATATCCTGCAGATAGTTACAAGTATGTGCAAAAACACAAGTTATGGAAATGTGTTATGCTGAAAATAAATTATGAACATGGACAGCACAGGATATAAAAGCAGACACAAGTGAACAAATAGGATATTTATATACACAAACACACTGTAAATTATGACTTACTGACCAGTGACTAATTTATAGTTGAACTGCTTGCAATAAAAATACAGGATGAAGACAAAAACATGAATAATACATTCAAACAGGGTCAATGGTAATGAAGATACCACATTGTCATGTCAAATAAAGGTATCCCACAATCCTAGGATTACCTATTTCAGTGATAATTCTCACATATACAAATAAGATAAACCTTCATGCCAAACTGACTTGTACAAGTATCTGTAACCACTTCTTGGAGTGAGTACAACCTCACTCAAGGAAGGTAATACAGAAATGGCCAAGCAAGCATAAGCACTATAGAATTAGATAATGGTTGCACATTACAAGAACTTGTGTTTGAAAGTGAAGAATGTATTACAGTTTCTTAACCACATCTGCTATATCCAGTGCTGGCAAAGCCTTTCACTCAATACCAAGGCTTATGAGGCCGGCTGGGGTATGACAGGTATAGTAGTGGTTTAGATGTTATTTATATTATCAGTTTACATGAACAACAGCTGTTCTGATGTGAACCACATTAAGTTGGAAAAGTGTAATTTTTATCAATGTTAAGTCAGAATTAGGGTAAGGATTAATAACACATTATTTATATTAACACCAATTATTATTATTTATTTGTTCAGAAGAACTGGCAAACCAGTAAGATATTCTTGTTCCCAAAGCAGGTCAAGCAACTACAGCATCAACAGAATAATACCTATTAGTAACTCTTAATGACTCATGAATTAAAGTAAAAAGAATGTATAATATCATGTTATTCACAAGATATCCAGTGGCAGTGAGGCCTTTTGCCTAATACGAGGGCTCATTATTAAGATAGTGGATTAAAGCAAGTATACAATCTCCCCATAGTTGATTTACATGGATGTTGTAACTATATGCAAAATATCTGTAGAAAAAATGGCCAAATATACATGAATAGATGTATATTTTTTTTACTAGTTATGAAAGGGTGAAATTATATGATAATTCCAATCATCATAACTTTGTAAGGCAATGGTTAGAATCTTACTTGCAATATCTTTTTTTCAATTTTGATAATTTATTTAAGAAAGGAATTTGAGTTGTTGGAAAGCTTCAGAGAACAACTACCAGGATGGTTCCAGGTTTGAGAGAGTTATCATAAGCTGAAATCTCTCAACATGTTTTTGTTGCAGACACAAAGAGTTTAGGAGAATGATTGAAGTTTTTATTATTGTTAGAGATTATGGTTGACTGATAAAAAAAAAACATCAGAAAGAAGCAGCTTTATTAATAATTTAAAGTGAGCATAATAATAAATATGTGATAAATAGTCTAGTCTACCGAACTAATTGAAATAAAAAAACAGTGAAAATTACCATGTGGTTATGAGCATAATGTCTGATTTTTCAAAATGAAAAAGCTTTACCATTGGACCAAATTTTGCTTTTAATTTTTACATTTTGATCAACTAAACATTATTCTAGATTTTATTTTGAAATGTGTAAAATTTAATTGGCTTCAAAATATGCTTGGAAATTTTTGAAATAAGATTTTTAGCCTCACTGCTAGTAAATCTTGGAAAATAAAACAAAAATACAAAGAAACCAGGTGTATTCACAGTTCTTAGGGTCTAAAGTTACATGTGGTATGCTGAACAATTAGAATTTATGGCATATTTCCCACCTATTCATTCATTAATATGGTTACCTTTGCATTTTATTTTCTGTTATTGGCTTCTGTGGAGAAACTAAAAGCCAAAAAGATGTGAGAGCTAATTAATACTATGGATACTGCTGATTGTCAGCAGAATAGTAACTTTTTTTCTTAATCAAAATAAATATTGGACTCAATGCCTTTTGTTTATTTGCTTAAGAATAGGTTATCTTCGTATAAGGAGATTGACAACTGGATACAACAAAGTACAAATGGAAAATTATATACATATATAGTGTAGTTACAAATCATATTTTAATTTTATGTGATAAAA